CTTGGGGTGGGGGGTCTTGGGAGAGGCCCTGGGTTGATTTAGGGGGGCTGGGAGAATGCCTCGGCTGGTTTGGGGGGATGAGTGGGCGTCCCTGGATTGGTTTTGGGGTCCTTGGGGAGGTCCTGGAGTGGGAGGGCTTGTTTGGGGGTACTGAGGGAGGGGTCCTTGGCGTGGTTTGGGGGGTCCTTGGGGTGGAGGGGCTGGTTTAGGGGTGCTGGAGAGGGGGAGACCCTGGACTGGTTGGGGTGGACTGGGGGGATTACTTGGGGTGGTTTGGGGGTTTTTGGCAGCTTTGGGACGCCCTTTTTTGGGGGGGGCTTCCTTGGGGGTCCCACCCCAACATCCCCTTTGCCTCTCCCTCTCCTCCCACAAGATCCCTTTTTGCTGGGATATCCCTGGATTTGAGGCTTCCCTGGGATTCTCCCAACCCACCCCTCACCCCAGGGCCATCCTGGGGGTCCCCCAACCTCACCTGTGCCCCCCTCAAATCCTGCAGCCCCCCTGGATTCATGGATTCCCTACTCTTCCTCTCTGCCCGCCGGCTCGTCGCCCACCGCCCCCTTCCCACTGTCCCCGCCCAGCTCTATCCCGTCCTCTTCCAAGCCGCGTTCCTGGATAGGAGACCCCTGGTCCTGCAGGATTTGGTGGCCCAGTGGCCATTCCCAGTCCTCAACTTCCAGCAGATTGTGGGGGGCCGGAAGCTGCTCCAGGATTATCCCTCCAAGCTCTGCATCCAGTCTGTCATCCTGGCCGTGGTGAAGCAGCTCCGGCAGGATCTGGAGGAAGCAGGCCATGATTCCAGGTGAATCTTGGGAATTCCAGGATACACAGAACCCACTTCTGTGGTTTTTCCCTGCTTGTTTATTCCTGTTTTTCCCATTTCCTGGCCCAGCCAGTGCCGTCTCCGTGTGCTGGACATGACAGGACTCCGGGATGGTGCCACTGGCCGTGCTCCGGAAGGGATGAGTGTCTGGTCTGGCACTGTGGCCCTGGCCAAGGCTTGCGTGGAGGTCTCCAAACACCAGCGGGAACTCCAGAAATGCGGATCCAGGAGCCACAAGGGCCATTCTGGCACCACAGCAGCTCCGCGATTCATTGACATCCACGCCGATCTCTTCGTCAATGGAACATCCTATGGGATCCTGTGGGACGCACTCCAAACTGGGAACACCGGCCCACTGCGCCTCAAGTGCCGAGAGTTCCAAGCCGAGGAGCTCTGCCTGGCTGGAATTGTGAGTCTGCTGAAATCCCTGGATCCCTCTGGCGTAAGGAGAGTGGAGCTTCGCTTCAACAACCTCGGACTGGGGGGTCTCTCCCTGGTTTTGCCACATCTCTCCCGATTCCTGGATCTCCGAAGCCTCCGACTTCCCTACAGCAATGTCGACGTGCGGCGGCCAACGCCAGAGTCAGTGGTGGGAATCCACTGTCTGGCCAGGGAGCTGGGAAAGCTGCAGAGCCTCAGGGAGCTCAACCTGGGATCCTCCAGGCTCTCTGGGAGTTTGAGGCACATTCTCTGGTAAGTTCTTGCTGGAGCAGACTCCCAACTGCATTCTTCCTGTGCTCAGTGAGGATTTGCAAAGGTTGGACTTGGTGGTGTTAGACATCTTTTCCAACCTTAGTGACCCCATGATTCTGTGATTTTGTTATCCCAATACTCCATGACTCCATGCTCCCATGATTCCATTATCCTGTAATTCCATGATTTCATGACACCACGATCCCATAATTCCTTGACTCCAGGATTCTCAAAGGTTGAACTTGACCATCTTGAAGGCATTTTCCAACCTTAATGCCTCCTTGACTCCGTGATCCCAGAATTCCCTGATTCCCTGTTTCCAGAGGACAGCAAGCACTGCATCCCAGAGCTCCACCAGCGCCAGGTGCTCCTGGCTGGCTCCATGACTCTATAATCCCATCACCCCATGATTCCATGATTCCATAATTCTGTAATCCCATAACCCAATAATTCCATAACTCCATGACCCCACAATTCCGTGGCCTTGTAACTCCGTGATCCCATGACTCTATGATTCCACAATTCCAAGGCTCCCTGATCTCATGACTCCGGAATCCCATAATCCCACGATTCTCAAAGGTTGAATTTGATAGTCTTGGAGCTCTTTTCCAACCTCAGTGATTTCCATGATTCCATGATCATGAAGGGAATCATGGGTCTTGTTTGTCCTGCAGTTCCCCCAGGAATTTGGGAGCCATTCCAACATTTCAAGGTTTCATGGAGGGTTTGATCTATTGGCGCATCCCTCCCAGCTCCATGATGTCACCATGGGGTCACATCTCCTTTTTCATCCTGGCAGCGAACTCGAGGCTCCATTGGAAAGCTTGGAACTGGCCTTCTGCTCCCTCCTTCCCGCTGACTTCGCCTTCCTCTCCCAAAGCTTCCACGCTCCGGCCCTGAAAAGGTTGGATCTGAGCGGCCATGATTTCTCCCAAACTCTTCTCCAACCCCTTCAGCATCTCCTAGAGAAAACCTCGGCTTCCCTGCTCCACCTGGACCTCATGGAATGCCGGCTGACGGACTCACACCTGGGTGCCCTGCTGGCGTCACTCCGGCACTGCTCCTGCCTCCGCTCCCTCGGACTCTTTGGGAATTCCTTCTCCACGGCGGGGCTCAAGGATTTATTATGGAAAACTGTGGTCCTGCCAGATCTCCGCCTGGTCGTGTATCCTATCCCTGTGGATTGCTACAAGTCAGGGCTGGATCCTGGCTGGATTTTGGAGGAGCAGCTGGGCAGGGAATGTTTGGGAGCAGTGAGTGCAGAGCTGGGCCGGATGCTGGAGAGCTTCGGGAGAGCCGACATCGTCTGGACTTCCAACCCCTACGGACACGGAGCCCTGGATTACTTCTCCTTGTAGCTGGGGAAGAGCTTGGAGCCTTCAGCCTGGAGAAGGTGCCTCAGTGCCTCCTTCCTCAAAGAATTTGTGTGTATTCCACCTCATTTCAGTGTTTTTCACCTTATCCCAGTGTTTTTCAATCTAATTTTGGTGGTTTACCGCCTCATCTCACTGTTTCTCTACCTCATCCTGGTGTTTTCTGCCTCATCCCGGTGTTTTTCCTCTAAACCCATTGTCTTTCCACCTCATCCTAGTGTTTTTCCACCTCCTTTGGTGTTTTTCTGCTTTATCCTGCTGCTTTTCCCCCATGACAGTGTTTTTTTCTGCCTTATCCCAGTGTCCTTCTAGTATTTTTCCACTTCATCCTGGTGCTTCTCCACCTCATTTTGGTGGTTTTCCACCTTATTGTGGTCTTTTCCCACCTCATCCCAGTATTTTTCCACCTCATCCTGGTGTTCTTCCACCTCATCCAAGTGGGTCTTGACCTCATTTTGGTGTTTTTCCTGTTATCCCAGTGGCTTTTTGCCTCATCCTGATGGTTTTCCACCTCATCCCAGTGTTTTCCAGTAACTTTTGTTACCACCTTGTTACCAACCGTAGCTGGGACAGACCTGGTGTCACTGGAAACTCCCAGAACTCTGCTAATTAGCACCAGATATTAATTGCTAATTAATAAACCAGTATCACTTGACTGGTGATGAAATTCCTGCCAAATCCCCCCTAAATCCCACTCTCCTGTATCCTGAATCCCAGCACTGCACAGTGAGGAATCAGCATGGTGAGTTCTGGGGTTTTTTGGGAGTTTCATGGAAAAAAAGGGGATCCCAGTTGCCATGGAAACACCCATCCCAGTGCCAGGATGGGCTCCCCCCCAATTGTAGGGATGTTGGGGGGGTCCCCTGGTGCCAGGGGTCTCTGATTCCACCATATCCCGTTGCCATGGGAGTGATGGGAATGGTTGGGGGGGTCTCAAACTCCACCATATCCTGCTGCCCTGGGAGTGACTGGGATGGTTGGGGCTCAAGCCACCTGTTTTCCAGGAATACCAGCCCAGGGACCCCCCCAGGCACCCCTGAACCAACCAGAGACCCTTCCAGCCCCCCCCGAAGCAGCCCAGGGACCCCTCTAGTCCCCCTAAACAAGCCCAAGAACCCCTCTAGCCCCCCATCCCAGGGAGCCCCAGCCCCCCTAAACCAGCTTAGGGAATCCCTGCCAAGGACCCCCCAGAAACCCCCTAAACCAGCCCAGGGACCCCTTCAGACCCCCCAAAACCAGCTCCCCATCCTAAAGGACTCTGCTAGCCCCTTCTAAAATCAGCTCAGGGACCCCCCAAACCACCCTCAGATCACGTGTCTGTCACACCCATATGGGATCCAGGTGTGTGTCTGTCACACCCAGATGTTTGTCCAGGTGTGTGTCTGTCACACCTGTGTACCACCCAGGTGTTGTCATCCCCCCTCTCCTCCCCGGTCTGTTCCCTTCACAGGCCCAGGAGGGGACAGGCACAGGTGTCCCACGTGTCCCCGCCCCCACAGGTGTGCACACACACCTGCACACAGGTGTTGCTCAACAGGTGTTTATTGGTGTTCCCATCACCACGTGGCCTCCAGGGGGGCTGAGGGGAGGGGTCTCAGGTGCCCCAGGTGTGCGGGCACAGCCCCCTCCCCAGTGCCCCCGGTGTCACCTGCTCACAACCCGCAGTTGTACACCCGCTCTGCCGTGGTCCTGCGGGACTCGGGGGGCACTGAGGGAGTCCCGGGGGTCTTTGAGGGCATCTCGAGGGGCCCCTCAGTGGCCTCGAAGTGGTCGACGCGGAAGGCCCAGCGCCCCGGGACCCCCAGGTTGCTCCGGTGGCCGAGGGTCTGCACAGCGGGTGTGCGGGACCCTGGCACGTTGTAGTAGTGCACGTCATCCCCGCTGTTAAACCCGGCCTGGGGGGCATATGGGGGGACACACAGGGGGGGACAGGACAGGGTGGGTGGTGAGGGGGGCAGTTCTGCTCCAGTTCCCGCAATTTTACCCAAAAGGAGATTTATTTCACCCCAAATCCACTCGTTCCACCCAAAATTCCCTTAATTGCACCTAAAATCCCTCTAATTTCACTTAAAATGCACAATTTCTCCCCAAATCCCCTTAATTCCACCCAAAATTCCCTTAATTCCACCTAAAATCTCCGATTTCACCTAAAATGACCCTATGTCCACCTAAAATCCCTGATTTCACCTCAAATCCCCTTAATTCCCCCTCAGAACTCCTTACCCCCCCATCCCAGAACCCCCCTAGCCCAGTGTGGGGGTCCCTGGGGGTGTCCCCGTGTCCCCACCTGTGCGGGGATGCCCCCCAGCCCAGTGTGGGGGTCCCCCATGTTGGCAATGCCTGTTGTCCACTGCAAGTCCCCGTAGTTGAGCAGGACAAAGCAGGTGACACCGTCGGAGGCCAGCACAGCCTGGAAAGTGTTCACCTGGGGGAGGACGTTGTCACCGTGTCACCCTGGCACTGCCACCCCCAGCTGTGTCCCCAGCCCTGTGTCCCCCAGAAAGTTGGGGACACCATGGCTGGGGCCACTATGGTTGGGGCCACTGTGGCTGGGGACACCTCGCTTGAAGGCCAAGCCACTTGAGCCCCCTCCCCTCCTTGTCCCCTGTGTCCCACCTTGTCCGAGGCAGCCCCAAAATAGGCCACACGGTCCCAGGTGGCCACGAGGGCCCAAGTGGGGCGCGGTGGGGGGTCCCCTGGGGGCACAGTGGGTGCCAGGTCCTGTGCCAGGCGCTCCAGCAGCTCAGGGTCACGGCTCTGGCGGTACCAGACGTCCCCCCCCAGCCGTGTGTCCACGTCGGCCCAGTACGGAGCCACGAAGGGGCGGTGGCCGGGCAGCGGGAAGGGCTGGGGGGTGAACTCAGGGACCCTCGTCCCGAACGACACCACCCCATTGTTGTTCACCTGGGGGCAAAGGGCACCTGTGGGACACCTGGGGGGCACCCACCAGTGACCCCCCAGCGGTCCCAGTTATGACACTGCCAGTCACAGTGACCCCAAACCAGGTGTAACCCCAGAACATCCCAGAATGGGCCTGGGACCCCAAGTGTCACCCCAGAGCCTCCCCATATGGAGCTAGGATCTTCCAGTATGGGACTGGGACCCCCCAGGATGGGCCTGGGACCCCCAGTGTCACCCCAGAACCTCCCAGGATGGGCCTGGGACCCCAAAACCGCCTGGGGGTCCTGCAAGTGTCCCCCATGTCCCCAGGGGTCTCCACTCACCCATGTGGCCAAGAAAGGAGGTGCCACCAACTCTGGTGGCCCCCATCCCACTTGCCATCCCCCCCTCCTGCTGTCATCTCCCAGTCCCACCCTCCATGTCCCCCCTGTGTCCCTCCAGTCACGTGACCCACGTAGCAAGAGCGGTGGCCGCTCCCGAAGAAGGAGAAGTTTTGCCACAGAAAGATCTCGGGGCTCGTCCCGTCGTCCTCGTGGGGGGTAGGCTCATCCCCCACGCCCGGCCCGAAGGGGTACAGGACTCCCCCTGGGGACACACCACAGTCAGGGACCCCTGACACTGCCCAGGATGAACTGGGGCACCCCAGGATGGGCCTGGGACCCCCAGTATGGAGCTGGGACCTCCTGGTGTGAAACTCAAACCTCCCAGTGTCACCCTGGGACCTCCCATTGTGGGCCTGCGACCCCCAGTTGTCACCCCAGAACCTCCCAGTATAGGCCTGGGATCCCCAGTTGTCACCTTAGAATCTCCGAGGATAGAACTGGGACCTTCCAGAATGGGACAGGGACCTCCCAAGATGGGCCTGGGACCTCATACTGTGGGACTGGAACCTCCCAATTTGGGTCAGGGACCTCCCAGTTTGGGCCTTGGACCCCCAGTGTCACCCCAGGATCTTACAGTTATGGGCCTGGTACCTCCCCACTCTAGGCCTGGGACCCCAAACTCACCCGATGGTCCCACGGGAGTCCCTGATGTCCCCAAGGGTCCCCATTGCTCTGTGAGGCCAAGCAGGAGGAGCAGGAGGACAGGGGGGACCTTCATCTGTCCAGGCCTAGGGGAACAGGGGGTCCTTCCTCAGCCATGTCCCCATGTCCCCCCATGTCCCCAGTGACCCCCCATGTCCTCAATGTCCCCCATCTGTCCCCATGTCCCCCATGTCCCAATGTCCCCCCATGACCCCAGTGACCCCCCATTTCCTCAATGTCCCCCATCTGTCCCCATGTCCCCCATGTCCCAATGTCCCCCCATGACCCCAGTGACCTCCCATGTCTCCCAATGTCCCCCCATGACCCCA